TATAGATACACTGTGAACGTATTTGGTGCCACTGAACTGTACACTTAAGGTTAAAATTATAAATGTCGGTATGCATATTTTAGCATGCACATACAAACTGAAGACTACACTAATTCTAATTCTTTAATTTGGGGCCCAATTATCCTTTATTGTTTAATCCATTCTGAGTCTGTATTTTCTTTTGCTCATGACTGAAATCATCCTGACACCTGTTGCCTTTCACACCGATGCAGCGCAAGGCCCACCCTTCCCTAGAGAAATGAGTTTGCTGGCATTGCCGATCCCATGTTTCCCTGAGCGTGAGTTTTAAGTACCAAGGAAGGAAAATCATTTAAAAGAAGAAAACCTTAAACATCAGTCATTCCTTTTCACATCACACTGTTGACATGAGAAATGTCCAAACCTGTAGAGAGAGAATTTTTATGAGTTTATTTGAGCCAACTGACAGCAATTGCCAGGCAACAAAATCTCAACAGATTGAGAAAAGCTCCAGAGAATGGTAGTTTTGCAGCCTATTTTATGCCTTAGAATCTTAGGAGGAGGAGGAGATGTAGGGAGGGACACATGAAATCCATTGGTGGTAGGTTTAGGGGGTGGGAGAAAGCAAGTCAAGGATGGCTGGTCAGGGTGGTGGGGGAAGGGTGGGGGGGAATCTCTGGGACTGGGTGAGACATGAGACGAGACGCACACGTCTTTCTCAGAGTAGTTAACATTTACAGCGCATAGAGATGGTATGCCGGAGAATAAGATAACAACCGGGACTCCGTGGTTTCTGCCTCGGTGGCTTGGGTGTGCCCTGAGGGTCTGGCGAAGCAGATCACTCTGATATTTCACAGGTATGTTATCTCAGATGCAGAAAGAGAATAATAGACAGGCTCACTTATGGTAAAGACTGACCTTTGTCAATAAGACTATGGGCCAGGACCTGCCACGACCTGCTGTTTTTTAAAAAATATACAATCTTCATCATATTGTTTCTATTACCATTTAGTTAGTCCCCTTATCCCCCTCTCTCCCCAGCAATCACCACACTGTTGTCCATGTCCATGAGTCCTTTTTCCTTTTTACTCAGTCCCTCCACCTGCTACCCCCTCCCCAACTACCTGTCATCTGCTATCTATGAATCTGTCTCTATTTTGCTTGTTAGTTCAGTTTGTTAGATTCCACATATGAGTGAAATACCACATATGGTATTTGTCTTCCTCTGACTGGCTTATTTCAGTTAGCATAATGTTCTCCAGGCCCATCCATATTGTTGCAAAGAGTAAAATTTTCTTCTTTTTTATGGCCAAGTAGAATTCCATTGTGTAAATGTCCCATAGTTGTTTATCCACTCCTCTATTTATGGGCACTTGGGCTGCTTCCATATCTTGGTGATTGTGAATAATGCTGCAATGAACAGAGGGGTGCTTATGTTCTTTCAAATTAGTGTTTTGGGTTCTTCGGATATATTCCCAGAAGTGGGATCACTGGGTCAAAAGGCAGATTCATTTTTAATTTTATGGAGATACGTTCATACTGCTTTTCACAGTGGCTGCACCAGTCTGCATTCGCACCAACAAAGCATAAGGGTTCCCCTTTCTCCACATCCTCATCATCACTTTTTTGTTGATTTATTGATTATAGCCATTCTGACAGGTGTGAGGTGCTATCTCATTATGGTTTTTATTTACATCTCTCTGATGATTAGTGACATTGAGCATCTTTTCATATGTCTATTGGTCATCTGTATGTCATCTTAGGAAAAGTGTCTATTCAGGTCCTTTGTCTATTTTTTAAATGGGTTGTTTGTTTTTTGGTGTTGAGTTTTAAAAATACTTTATAAATTTTGGATGTTAACCCCTTACAGGTGTATTGGTGAATATGTTCTCCCATTCTGTGGGTTATTTTTTTTGTTGGTTTCCTTTGCTGTGCAAAAACTTTTTAATTTGATGAAGTCCCATTTGTTTATTTTTTCTTTTGTTTTCCTTGCCTGGGGAGATATATTTGATAAAAAATTTCTTCGAGCAATGTCCAAGATTTTGCTGCCCATGTTTTCTTCTAGGATTTTTATAGTTTTGGGTCTAACATTTAAGTCTTTGGTCCATTTTGAATTTATTCTTGTGTGTGGTGTAAGAAGGTGGTCTAATTTCATTTTTCTGCTAGTATCTGTCCAATTTTCCCAACACTGTTTATTGAATAAACTATATTTAGCCCATTGTATGTGCTTGTTCCGTCTGTCAAATATTAATTGACTATAATGGTGCGGGTTTATTTCTGGGCTCTCTGTTCTGTTCCATTGATCTATGCATCTGTTTTTATGCCAGTACCAGGTTGTTTTGATTACTATGGCCTTGTAGTATAGTTTGATATTAGGTAGCAGGATTCCTCTAACTTTGTTCTTCTTTTTCAGGATTGCTGTTGCTATTCAGGCCTTTTGTGGTTGCATATAACTTTTTAAAACATTTGTTCTATGTTGCGCGTGGGTCACCGGCCAGCAGTGACCACGGAACGCTGTGGATGGCTCGACGATAAACACGCGAGAAAAAACAACACATGCACAGAGACAAACTAGTTTCTGTGGGGAAGTAGGGACGAAATGGCCACCCCCCCTAGTGGGGAGCGCGCTGATTTACCGTCCATACCTGCTTTTATTAGGCTCATTTTGCATAATAATTCGGGTAAAGTACAGTACTCATTAGGGGAAGTAAGGAACTATAGAAAACAAAGAACTCTGCTGGTCTATTGAGTTGGGGGTCAAAGAGCTGTAAGACTGAGGAACAAACTAACTTCCTCCTTGGACCCTTCTCATTCAACTGAGAGCATTCTAAACAAAGAAGGTTTCACAGTAATTTACATGTTCTTTCTTAGGCCTGATCACTCCGGGAAATCCGCACTTCTCAGTACCGAGCTGTACTACCCTGTCATTGTTTCAGGCTTAGGTGGAGCAAGGGAACTAGGTAACCAAGAGATAAGGAGATTTTTTCCCAGACGCTGAGAACTCAGGCTATGTCAAAGCTGAGGAGCGAGGGTCCATCACCCCCCTTTTGCTGCAGCCCCCCCCCCAAGTCCTTCTTTTGGGGGCCTCCCAAAGTGATCATGCCTGGCTTAGGTCGTTCCCCCGTGGGGAATCTTACCCGTCTTTGGCTAACCGACCAAGCTTTTTGGGGGTTCAGTTATGAATAAAGCAGCAGAAGCAGCATTCCTGCCAGGAAGACAAGCTTTTGTCTCCTTGCTGGCTTACAATTCCAAGGGCGTTCCCTTAGCCTTAGCTAGGCGGGGATTTCAGCCTCTGATACCAGTCAGGGCGGTTCCCAACAGTTCTAGCTCTGTGAAATAAACATGATGCACTTTTAGTTAGGAATTTTTATGTGCAGGCCATCCTATGTGGTTACTTTCTGTCTGCATGGGTAAGGCCTGTCATGTGGGCCTCCCCTGAGATTGTCAGGTTTAGTGTGTGGCCCCTTTTGTGTCCCTAACACTGACATATATGAAAAAAAAATAGTAATGGTAAGTCCAAGAACTTAGATTGTATTTTGTTACTTTTAAGTCTCAGATTTTTTCACATTTACTTTTTGAAATATTTTAAAAAAGATTTTATTTATTTATTTTTAGACAGAGGAGAAGGGAGGGAGAAAGAGAGGGAAAGAAACATCAATGTGAGGTTGCCTCTTGTGTGGCCCCCACCAGGCATCTGGCCGCAACCCAGGCATGTGTCCTAACTGGGAATCGAACCGGCAACCCCTTGGATTGCAGACCGGCGCTCAATCCACTGAGGTATACCAGCTGGGGCTATTTCTTGAAAATTTTAAGTTTTTCATGTGCTATATTGGTTTCACAGGCCCCAAATGGGAACCGAACCTGCAGCCTAGGCATGTGCCCTGACTGGGAATGGAACTGGCGAACTTTCTCTTTGCAAGATGCACAATCAACTGAGCCACACGTTCAGGGCTCAACAGTTCTTTATCTTCGTCATGGACAGTCTCTCCCTGGGACACAGTGGCTCATGTACCATCTCGATTACTTGCACATCCTCTGGAGCACAAAGGTTGAATTTCTTGTTAGCCTCCTGGAGTCACGTAGGTCTTGTGTTCCAGTTCCTGGAACAATAGCTTCCCAGGTGCATTAATCACGTCAGTCTCTCAACTATAATTAAAGCTGAAATCTTTAATTCTTGAGTTCCCTTACTATTAACACCATGGGAAATTAAAGAAAAAAGTTCAATGATACATGCATTTCTGAAGCATTCAGGGGCAGATAAATGGACGTCTGCAAGTTTCTTTGAAACTCCTGGAAAAGTGAGCTGGGTAGACAGGTGGACAGAAATGCACCAAAGCAAACCGAACCCATGGGCACATGGGGGTTCCCAAACAATTCCCTCACTTTGCTGCACATTTGAAAATTATCATTAAACATGGGAGGAGGGATTCTGTTCACTCTTAGAAATGCATATTCAGTTATTTTCTGGGGTTTGCTTTAGAATAATTGTAAAAGAGTGATAGGTAAAATAGAACTAGCAGAAAAGGGAATAGATGAAATAAAAATAGCAGGAAGTTAATGGTTACCAAATGAGGCTGGTGATTGAACTAGTGTATTTTTGAGTTTGAAAATTTTCTTACTAGATAATTAACAAGCAAAACGATGCTTCTGGTTTCTTTTCTGAGAGAAGGCAGGAGGAAAAGGGTGAGAGAGGCAGGAGTAGGGTTAGGATTTGTGTTTCAGCATCTGCTTTCGGATTGGGAGAGTTCGGGTGTCACTTTCTGGCTTTCTCTGGCTGAGGGCCCCCCTCCAGGTCAGCAGTTCAGCAGTTACCTTCTCCCTGCCACCCCGCCCCCTCCCAGCCTCACCGGAAGTGAGTGCAGGACAGGCCCCTCCCCCTACATCTGGTACTGATGTCAACAGCTAGGGTGGGTGGGGGCCATGTTTTTCAGCTCCCGCCCAGCCTCCAGGGAGGGGTGGGCCCCCCATCCTCACTCCTTACTCACAATGTCGGACACTGTCACACACACATCAGGCACTGCCACGGGAACAAACTTTTATTGCAAAATAGGGACCTTCGAGCCACAAGGCTGTAAGACCTGGCCTCTTCCCTGACACAGGGAGTTGGAATCTGGCCCCTGCTTGGTCGTCTAGCCCTTTCCCTTAAGTCAATTGAGACAGCGGGTCACCGTCTGTGTTAAGGGGGCAGGGGAGGCTTTCAATGTGGTTGCGTAGGCTGCAGTGTGTACGGCGGGTGTTCCTCTGTCTGAGGATCCTTGTGTGTCCTAGTTTACTTGGTTCCCAGGCCTGTGTTTACAACTGCACAATGGGGGTGTACCCATATTTGGGAGAATTTTGGGATCAGGATGCTTGGAGAGGGGTGTCCTTGAAAGCTGAAGGTGCTGAGGAGGCTGGGCTTGAACTCTGAGTGGAAGGTATTCAGGAGCCAGGACGAGGTCATGTGTGAGCTGACTGTGTTGTTCAGTGCTTGGGGGAATGTGACTGGTGATGGTCATGTGCCTGGACAGTGGTGTGGTCCCTTGAGGGTTGAGGACAGTCTCTCTGTGAGGTGACATGACCCAGGAAGTTGTGTGCTCTTTACACCAGGCTCCCAGAGACAATGGCACTGGTAAGTTCGAGAGTGACGAGGGTGTGTGGCCCATGAACATGGTGGTTGTTGCAGTGGCAGCTGAACTCCCACAGGTGGGTTGTGAGTCCAGGGCAGTTACGTTGTGCGAAAGTTGCTGGGTTATCTGGGCGTGTGATTCTATGCAGACTAAACTATAGAAAGCTTGTGTGGCTAAGTTGCCTCGTGGCCGTGTATGGGTGTGTGGTTGTGTGCTTCAACAGCTGTGTGACCAGTGAGTGTGGCCCTGTGGACAAGTAGGCCGAACATCTGTGTGACTGACCCTAGAAAACAACTACAGGTGTGTGAATGTGGTTTCCTGTGGTGCAGACTTGTGGCTGCGAATGCAGACCTGTCCATGCCCATGGTCAAGGCCACTACCTCCCGACGCCCCTCCTTCATTTGGTCTACACAATGGGGTGGGGTGGAGGTCAGTAGGGCCGAACTTGCAGCTGGAAGGGTGGGGGGATGTTGAAAAGGCCACTGACAGATGGCTGGAGGCTCAGGGCATTGGGTGGGCTCGGGCTCTCCAGGGAGAAGGCCTGCAGGATGGTGGTGACGAGGAGGAACAGCTCCGTTCGAGCCAGGCCTTCCCCGAGGCAGACACGCTTACCTGGAGGGAAGAGGATCACAGGGCTGGGCCAGTCCTCCTCACACCGCACTGCACCATGGCCAGCGGGTGGGCAGGGACGGGCCCAGCAGTTACCTAAGGAGAAGGGCAGGAATGCCTCTTGCTTCTTGAACCTTCCGTCTGCATCCAGAAATCGGCCTGGGTTAAACTCCTCAGGCTGCTCAAAGACGCTGGGGTCATGCAGGACAGAGCCCAGGAGGGGGAAGACCTCAGTGCCCTGAGGGAAATCATAACAGAATCACAAATATGCTTCGCTGCCCAGGTTCCCCAGGGCAGAGCACGAGGGTCTGTAATAGCATCAACATGTACAAGCTACGTACGGGCCAAGCAGTGTATTACGCATTTTGTGTGTACTACCTCATGTGTACTTGGCACACATCTTCCACTTACTCAAATACATGCGTAAACTCACTCAATAGTTTAATAAGCCTAGGAAATGGCTACTAATATGGTCCTCATTTTAAAGATGGGAAAACTGAGGCTCAGAGACCTTAAGAAACTTGCCCAAGGCAACATTTAACATGGCAGAGGCTGTTATTTTTTACATTTTGTTTTTAAAATTTGAGGTATGCTGTGACTCAGCTGTGGCTGTCCTAAGTCACCTGGTGGCCCAGAGTGCAGCTTTTTGCTGCTCAGGTCATCAGGTGGTGAAGGCAAGGGTGGGCGGGCAAGGGCTGTCCACAAAGACTCCGCCTGCCCAGGTGCAGGGAGGGCAGCAGCCCCTTCAGTTGAGATCAGAGTCATCGTGTTCCCAGCACTGTGGTGGAGGGTGAAGGAAGGTGGGGAGGGAGGAGAGGGAGAGGAAACTCCATTGCTAGGGACTCTGGCTAACAGGTTCTGAGTTGGGGAGGTGAGAGGACTCCAGAAAAGTCAGGGTCATGTTATTGCCATTAAAGTAAGAGAAGGGCAGATAGCAGTGGTTAGGCTGGGTGAATGTGGCAAGTCTAACCTATGGGAGCCTCAGTTTTCTCATCTGTAAAGTGGGTGTGTTAGTGGTATGGGATTACTCTGAAGACTAAACAGCACAGAGCAGGCTGTCAGTCATTGGTGCCTGTTATTACTGTTGCTACTATCAGTAGCGGCTGTCATGCACAATCACTGCGTTGGCAAGTGTCCCTGCTGTCGCCTTGTGCCCAGGGTCCCCATCCCCAGTGCTGATTGCCTCATGGATTCCTTACAATCCTGATAGATACCATTATCTTTCCCAGTTTAGAAGACAGGTAGATGGAGGCTCAGAGTGGGAAGTGATTTGCCAAAGGTCCCAGCTAGAAGACAATTCTAACTGCCAGGGGTTTGCTTTTATGCTCAGTGAAGCTCAAGGAGGGAGCCACTTGTGAGAAGGTGCTCTGGGTTTCTGGGGAGACATCGCCCCCTGGTGGTACTGGCTCTGAGTTGCTCTCCAATCAAGGGGAGGGTGATGAGGCGGGAAGAGAAAGTGTGTGTATGTGTGTGTAGGAAAGGAGGAAGTGAAGGGACTACGTGTTTGCAGCAGGTGTTGAGGGTGAAGGCCTCTGCTAGCCCTCAGTTCTCAAATTGACATATGGGGAAGCTGAGGCTCAGAATCAAACGGTAAGAGAAATGCAGAGAGAGAGGGGGGAGGGGAGAGAGAGAGATGCGAGAAGAGGGCAGGTGATGCAGGATGAGAGAAACCAAAATCCACAAGAAGTCTTAGAGACACAGATAGCAACAGACTCAGGCCCAGGCAGAGGCACTGTTGGGCAAGGCTACACTGCGGACCCACCTGGGTCAGGGTGTACCCTCGGAAGCAGGTGGTCTTCGTGAGAGCGCGGGGTATCCCCATGGGCACCAGTGCCAGCAGCCGCTGTGCCTCATGCAGAACCGCGTCTGTGTACGGGAGGCGGGCTCGGTCCCCCAGGCCTGGCGCCCGGCCAGCCCCTAGCTCTCTTGCCAGCTCCTCCCGCACGCGCTCTGTCTCCAAGAAGAGGAGGATTAGAGGTCAGAGGGGAGGTGGGGACCTCTTCTTGGAAGCCCCCTTGTCTTGAGCAGCTGTGGTTAGGGGTGAGGCTAGCGGCGAGGGAGAGCCCCCCAGCCCTTGCTGAGCTCGGGTGCCTCATATCCTGTGTGCCAGGCATTACACCTTCCCTCTCTTAACTCCCTCAGCAATCCTGTGAGATAGGTACCAGTGACTATGGCATTTCCCAAATGGGGAAACTGAGGTCCAGAGAGCTGAGGTCACAGATGACCCCATTCCACCAAGGCCACCAGACCCCAAGTCCCATATGCCAGGTCACTCACACCGCTGGCTCGATGTGAGACGCTGGAGTTCCTTGGGGTTTATTACCAGCCCTGCACTGTCCCACACCATCTCAGCCTCAGTTCCTGCCCACTTTGTTTTTCATCTCTATCCTGACCTTCCTGGATGCCTCCTCACCTGGTGGCTCCTGGCATGTCACACTCAAAGTGTCCCAAACTGGCCTCAGTGTCTCCCCTGAAACAGCCTCTCATTCCTTCTGTTCCCATTTCGGGGGAGCCCCATGGCCCCCCAGCCCCCTGTGCAGAGCCCTGGGCCTGTCCCCAGATGCCTCCCTCCCCATCATTCCCTACCACCTACTTATTTGGCTGCTTATTTTTTCTCCACAGCTTGACCCAGCCCTGTCCTCTCCCACCCACGCCCCTACCCAACCTTCCCTCCTTGGGCAACTTGTCACCCCTTACAATCTACCCCTTCATGGCAGCCCAAAGAATTTTTCTAAAATGCTAGTTTGACCCCACCCTCCCTTGCCTAACATCCTACCACGGTTCTCCATTGCACAGGGTGAGTGACAAGGCCCCGAGGCATCTTGTGTCTCATTTCTCACTCTGCCTCATGTGGCCGCCAGCAGTCCCCCCACCTCTTGCTCCTCAGACACCCTAGACGCCATGCTCATGGTCACCACCAGGCTCTGGTTCAGATGGTCCATTCCCCTGAAATTCTTCCTCTCCAGCCCTCGCTTCTGTTTTCAGGGCCTGGCTGGTGGAAAAGGCTCCTACCTTGGACCTGAGGGTATTTCAGCAGGAGCAGGAGGGTGTAGCGGACCGTGGCGCTGACGGTTACTGTCCCGGCAAACAGCAGATAAATGACAGTCATCAGCAAATTCTTGTCAGTGAATTCTGTGTTTGGATCTTGTTCCTCCTGGGAGAAACCGGGCAGAGGGACTCAGAGGACACAGTGTGCAGGGAGCAGCGGCCCGGCCCAGCCTCGGTTGCGGCCCGGCAAGTTCAAGCTTGTCAAGGAGTTTAAATAAATGTTTGGGAAAGTCAGAAAGTGGACTCTTGATATTATTCTCTCTGGCTGAAATATTTTTAAAAATGAAAGAGAATGGCCACCACAAACAAACAAAATGACAAGTGTTGGTGAGGATGTGGGGAAATTGCAGCCACCGCCACTATTGATGAGGATGCAAAATGGTGCAGCTGCTCTGGGAAACAGTGGGGCAACTCCTTCAAGAGTTGAAGTAGAATTCCCGTGTGATCCAGCAATACTATTTCTGGGCTTATTTCCAAAAGGATTGAAAGCGGGGTCTCAAAGAGGTATTTGTACACTCATATTCATAGAGGCGTCAGACACAACAGCTGAAAGGTGGAAGCAACCCAAGTGCCCATCAATGAACAAACAGACACATGAAATATGGGCTATCCATACGATGGAATATGATTCTTCACGTGCTAGAATACACATGAACCTTGAGGACGTTATGCTAAATGAAATAAGCTAGTTAAAAAGGACAAATACTGTACTGGTCGCCCTTTACGAGGTACCTAGAGGTGGCAAATTCATGAAGACAAGAAGTGGAAGGTGCTGGCCCGGGGCTGGGGAGGGGGCTGGGGACTTGTTCGGAGAGTGTAGAGTTTCCGCTTTGCCAGTTGGAAAGGGCACCGAGGATTGCTTGCACAACAATGTAAACACACTTAACACTACTGAACTGTGCACTCAGAAATGGTTAAGATGGTAAGTTTTATGTTATTATGTGTAGTTTACTACAGCTAATTTTTTAAATTAAAAAAATAAAAGAGAAAAGACATGGGGCCACGACAGTAAGAAAAAATCCCCTCTCTCCATGAACAAGATGGCTGCATTTATTCAAAGGATGTCTCCCTGAATATCTCCCATAATTCCAAAGTTCCTGCAATCCAAAACTCATTATTTCCACAGGAGTCACCTTAATTCTCATTTTCTCATATACTAAATTGTTCTTACATAATCAATAAAGTAGGCTTTATCAGTATAATTTGCTATTGCTAGGTTTCCTAAGGAAATGACTGTAAATCACAGAAATATCCCATGTAGGTGGGGGAGCAGGGGGTGGGGTGAAGCTGTGGTGGTGTTGCCTGTGGCAGGTCACTGGGCATGGGGTTGAAGCTGCAGCGAGGAGAGAGAGGAGGAGAGAGATGCAAGAGGCTCAGACATGGGCGAGGTGGGAGTGCGGAGAGGCAGAGAGAACAATGCACCAGGAAGAAGAGACAAACACATGTATGCACAGACACAAATGCATGGAGATGTGGGGAGAGAGAGAGGGAGAAAAAGAGAGAGGAAGAGGAATGGCTTGGCAGATTCCCAGCCACATCTGGGGAGCAGGCAGCCAGGCCACCAGCCCCATTCGGGAGCCCCCTCAACCCCAGCCTTCCCCTACCTTTGCCATCTTCAGCAGAAATGCATCCATAACATCGCCTGCAGGGCCTGAGGTGTCCAGATTCCCCCGGTGCCGCTGCACCTGGTCAATGGCGAAGGCAGCCAAGGTGCCCACATGGTGGAGGAGCTGGGTGTGGGGGCCTGGAAGGGGCTGCAGGAGCCAGGAGAACATCTCGTAGGCCTGTGGGGAGAAGGGCAGCTGTTCCCACTGGGGTTCTGGGCCTGCACCAGGGTGAAGGGGCAGGTGGATGGGGTGGTCTGGGGGTCACTTGGAACAGGTAGGCAGGAATCTTTGGGGAAGGTGGCTGGAGAGGGGTCACATCTGCTTACCTGGCCCCATGGAGAGCTGATCCCCAGGAGGATGCCGCCAGCTGCCTGGACCACAGCCTTGAACTCCTCATCCTCATAGGGGAAACGAAGGCCCAAGGTGAGGGAGCAAACGACATTGGAGGTGGCCTGGGCCAGCAGCAGGGAGGGGTCAAATGTCTGTCCTGGTGCGGATGGGGCAAGAAGTGTTGGGACAGAGTCAGAGAGGACTGACTTCGTGGGGGCCAGATGCAGCCACAAAGAGACAGGGCCAGAGAGAGAGACACACACACACAGAAATAGACAAGGAAGAGAGAAAGAGATAGACAGGGAGACAGACAAACAGACAAGGAAAGAGACACAGACAAACTTACAGGAGAGAAAAGCAGCAGAGAGAGAAAAAAGAAGCAGAAAGTGATGTAACAATACCAGGGACACAGAGACCCTCAGGGAGACACCAGGACAGAGACAGAGACAGAGGTGAAGGAGGAGCTAGAGGTGGAGGCGAACAGAGCCCCCAGCCTAGGCATTGTGGGAGGGTCCTCCCACCCTCACGGAGACCCCAGGGACCCTGCCCTGCTGACCTTCTGTTCTCTGGAATGCCTCCACCAGACATTGGGCCTCCGCCTGGATCAGCTCCTCGCCTTGTCGCTTCCCCATGCCCAGGTCCCGCAGAGCAAGCATGGTGAATTTCCTCAGCTGCCTCCACCGCTCCCCATTGGAAAAGAAAACCCCTGCACAGAAGGTGAAGTTCAAGGAGAAACTGGCTCCTCTCCCCATTCCCTGGGACCACCCCCTTCCTCCCAGCGAGGTGTCCTGAGAAGGCTCTTCAGGGCCTGTCCTGAGTCTACATCTGCCTAGCCCAGGGATGAGGACTCAGAAGGTGCTTAATAGATACCTAATCTTGGGTCTGAGAGTGACATTCTCCTGAGAAGGTCAGCTAAGTGGGATTATGCAGGCTCCTTCTGTTCTGTGATTAACGAGGGTAAGGGAAGATTCCTTTCTCCTTCCTGCCTTCCTTTCTTCCATTCATCTTTTCATTCTTCTTTTTTACCCACTTACACTTTAATCCTTCCTTTTCCCCCATTCCTTCCAACCATCTCAACATTAATGGAGCACTATTTGGTCCTAGCTACGCACCCACCCCATCATTTATGAAAGTCCATCCATCCATTCATCCATCCATCCATCCATCCATCCAATTTATGGAGAACTATTTGGATCCCTTGCCCCAAGTTGTTTGGAGGTTGAACAGCGAGGGAGGAGGATGGAGCTGCAGAACTCTCCTCCTTTATGTGAGACTTGCTCTGGACAGACCCTTCCCTGCTCTGAGCTCAGTATTTCCACCCGTGGAATGTTTCCTGGATGCCTCCCACTGAATGTCCCCTGCCCACCTACCCCTCTACTGTGTCCCCAACGGGCCTCAGCAGCTCCCCTCCTCTCTATTCTCAGCCCACAATCCCCCACCCCCTGTTCCACGACCTGGATTCCTCTCCTAACCACTCCCAATTCCAACCCTAACATCCCAGCCCTGGTCCAACCCCATCCCTTCCCTGGGCTCCCACACAGAAACCTGAGGGATCCTTCTAACTCTGTACCCTTTCCCTGTTTAAAATCTATATTTCACCCCCAAAACCCAAAGCCCAAACACTCTGGTGTGACTCAGGCCCTGCATAACTAGGCTCTGCCAAATTCTTCAGCTTTATTAGTCAGCCCACTACAGTCCCACTGGCTTCTCTCACTTCTTCAAAGGTGTCAGGATCCCGCATGTCTAGGCCCGTTCCCCTGTTGTTCTCTCCACCCGGATTGCTCACCTCTCCATCCTCCCTGAACTAATCTCATTCATCCTTCACTTCTCAACTCAAATGTCATCTCTGAGAAGCCTTCCTAGATTCCTCCCATTCTCCCCCAGCACTGTAAAGGTTCTGTGTCCTGCTCTCAAGGCTGTACCTCTCACTTTAGAATTCCATTCTGTCCCCTCATTGTCTTATTGCAAACCTACCGCTCCCACAGTAAGACGGGACACCACACTTGTCTCAGTCACCTGTGTCCCCAGCACCCAGTGCAGGGCCAGGTATAATGAAAGCTTGCCAGTTTAATGAATGAATGCCTCTTTTCATCTCCATGATTTTGTACTTGCTGTCTCCCTGGAACACCCTTCCCACTCATCCTGTGAGTCTCAGCTCAAACACCCCGCCTTTCAGGGAGACTTTCTGGATGTCCCCCAGCAAATGAGCAGGGTCAGGAACCTCCTCTTATTCCTGGCTTCCCCAACCCTGGCCCTGAGCCCTCTGCCAGGGATGCCCACCACTTCCCCATTCCTGACCTCTCTGTACTGTCACTGTCTGGTGACAAGTCTGTTTCCCCACTGGCCAAGGCACTGTGGGGGAGCTGCATGGGGCTGTTTAGTCACTGCTGTGTGGGACTCTGGCTTTCAGTCTTAGCACAGGCAATGGTGCATTTCTATGTGTTGTGTTTCCATATCAGTGCCTTGAAAGCTCACCCCTTCCTCCCAGCCCTGGGGGTTTCTGCTGGACCAGCCATAACATTACTGCACCTGGTGACTACTGAGCACGTGCTTTGTGCAAGGCCCAGCCCTCATTTGATCCTCACTACAACCCAATGTGCAGGCACTGTTATCACCCCATTTTGTGGATGAAGAAACAGGCATGAAGCCAGCATGAAGGTCACACACCAGTAAGTGGAAGCAGGCTCTGGGTGAAGGGGTGGCAGCCTCCACCTCCACCCATGACTCACCATGGCCGTCAAAGGTCCGGTCCAGCGTCGCCAACATCCCCCGCCCACTGAACTCCTCAGCCTGACCTCCCAGGGCCTCCTGCACAGCCTGGTGCCCAACCAGGACCACCACACGCCGCCTGGGTCCCAGGTGCACGGTGAACACCGGTCCATACTTCTTACTCAGCTGCGGGCAGGGAGGGAGAAGGGGGTGATGCCTCTTCCAGTCTGGATGTCTCCTTCATGGTCCCTGTCACTGGAAGAGCCACCTACCAGGAACCATCCCCAGGTTCCCAGACTCCCTCCCCAGCACTCTCTAGTCCCCATCCTCTTACCTTCTGCAGACCCCGAACTTCTGACCTCAGGACAACCCAGAGTCTATCCCTGCCCTCCCAGTTCTGACCCGAGCCAACAAAAGTGGGCAACCTCAGCTTTGGTCTCCCTTAATTCCTCAACTCCCCCACTCCCAAACTAGCCACCTTTTCAATCACTGCTAAGCTCTCAAATTCTGGAGCACATACTGCGGAGCACCTGCCAGCCCTCCCCAAGACCCCCACCCGTCGCCATGTCCTGGAAATGCCCCAGGCTCTTGCCCATGGGGAACCTCTGGTCTCTTCACACTTCCTCATCCCACAAAAGTTGGGGCTGCTTCCCCTTCTCTGGCGCAGGAGTTCCCAGCTCCACCTACTCCCTCCCAGCCTCCCCGAGATTCTCTGCAGACAGATTCCTAGAACCCTCCGGCCTCTGCCTCCACTCCCTCCGCCCCAGGGACACCTCCCTTTTCTTCTTTGCCGGTCCTCTGGGGAGCTCACCTGTGTCTCCCCGGTTACCTCTCCTTCGAGACAAGCCCATAACCACCACACCCGCCGCTTCTCTCCTGCTTGACGACTCCCTTCTCTCTCAGCTTTCCTCCCCCGCCCTCGCCACCTTCCCAGGATTCTGAGGGCTCCTCTGCCCTGGGACCCCTGCCACTGGATCCTGCTTCTCGGCTCTCGCCCCACTCCAGGATTCCGTGGGGGAGCAGTCTCTGCTCCTCCTAGTCCTGCCCCCAACCCGTCCTCTTTCCCCAGCGCCCCCCACTCCAGACCCAGTCCTAGACCCCTGCTCCCGCCCCACCCCAGAACATCCATAGCCCATTTGCGCTGGGACCCCGAGCTTGCCTCCTCCTTAGGGTGCCCGTTTCTCTCCCCGCAGTCCCCTTCCTCTCTCCTGGACCTGGACCCCTGCACCTGGACCTCTAGCACGGGCGTTCCCACAGCTCCTTACCCGCAAGAGCCCCGAGTACAGCTCCCCGGGCCAGAGCTGCAGGAGGTTCCCCAGCAGCGGCAGCGGCGCGGGCCCAGGGGGCAGGTGGCTTCCGGTCCGGGTCCGGGACAGCGCCAGCGGCAGCACTAGCAGCAGCAGCAGCAGCAGCAGCAGCGCCCAGCTGCTTGTCGCCTCCATCGCGGCAGGTTGGTCCGTCCCCTGCTCCGAGGCGCTCCACCCGGCTGGGACAGTCGGGGCAGCTCCCTTCCTAACGAAATCAGGTGGAGAGAGGCAGGGCAGACAGGCCCTCGCCCTGCCTACAGGAAGGATTCTCTCCCCGCCGCCCGATTTCTTTCTTCTAGACCCTCGCCGCCGCCTGGTGTTGGGGACACTCGCTCCAATGGTTTTCTCTCCAGTCACCCAGGTTCGGGGCCTCTAGCACGGGCGTCCCCACAGCTCCTTGGGCCCGAAGTAGGGCGTGGGCAAACTGAAGGAACCTGGAAGCCGGAGACTTGGGCAGCCTTCAGGAGGCCACACCCCGAGCTTGGCGGTGACCCGCGCGGCCCTCCCCAGCTCCCCCCTCCCCCCTCTTCGCAATCCGGGCGCACGTTCACCTGTGCGTGCCTGCGTGGTGTCTTTGAGCCAATTTCCTCTCGCATCTGACATCTTCGCTACGAACTAGGAGGAGAAATTGACCTTCAAAAATAAAGGATCTGAGTTTCAGAAAGGTAAGTCGGTTGGTCCTGGACCACACAGCTAACTAGCGACAGAGCTGGGATTTAAACTCAGGCCGGTCGGAATGACTGGTTGAATCATTCACTTTCGCAGCAGCGCCCATATTGGTCAGGGACATCCTGTCTGAGGCCAGGCTACCTGGGTTCACAGCCTGGCTTCTCTGTGCCTCTGTCAACTCTTGTAGAACAGGGGTTGATTTCAGGATTGTATAGATACGGGAGAGTGCACAGTTTAAAACAGGGCCAGGTGGGTATAGAACGAGTGTTAAATAAATGTTAGTTACCATTTTTTTCAACTAATTGTTATTGAGGTCTAACTACAGACAAGACTTTGTTCTAGACCTGAGGATGCAGCCATGAGTAACAGTGGCGTGGTCCCTGCTCACTCCCTGAACTCTTATCCACATGCAAATAAAGTAATAAGTTAAGATAATGTCAGGTAGTGCAAAGTTAAGATAATGTCAGGTAGTGCAAAGACCTGCCAGGGGGATGGGCTTGTGGAAGAAGACAGACAGCGTCCCAGTCCATGCTGTTTGGTTCAAAGCCGCCTGCCCAGCGTCTAGAGCAGTGCTCCGCACACAGGAGGTGCTCAGTGAATATCTGTTGCATCAAAGACTGAATGTGGGAGACAAGGTCAGTGAGGGCAGCAGGGACATCTTGCAGGGCTCTGGAAAATACTTCGCATTTTATTACTAGTGTGAACTGAAGCAGATTGTCAACATAAGTAATGTCCAGCCCTGGCTGTTGTGGCTGAGCGGATTGAGTGCTGGACTGTGAACCAAAGGGTTGCCAGTTTGATTCCCAGTCAGGGCACATGCCTGGGTTGTGGGCCAGGTCCCCAGTAGGGGGCGAGCATGAGACAACCACACACTGATGTTTCTCTCCATCCCTCCCTCCCTTCCCTCCTCTCTAAAATGTAAATAAATGAAATCTAAAAAAAAAGAGAAATGTCCAAACCTGTAAGAATTTTTATGAGTTTATCTGAGCCAAACTGACAATTGCTAGGAAACAAAATCTCAAGGGATTGAGAAAATGCTCTGAAAAATGGTAGTTTTATTATTTATTTTATACATGAAAATCAAAGGGTAAGACATAAGGAGTGTTAGGGTGGTCGGCTGTAAAAGAATTCACAAAGAGAAGAAAATACAAAGTAAAGTTTATTTTACTTCCCCAAGAGAGAAAAAGGGTTATGTGCAGAGATGTGCACCAGCATTGAGGTTGGAGGCATTGAGCTTTTATTGGATTATAAGAGGATGGGGGAGGTTGCTGTTGTGTGGCCGCTGGGCTGTTGGGGGCATTGCGATACAGGAGGTTTTGGGTGGTTTTGTATAAACTGCAGTTTGCTCCAATGTTGTCTTTTGCCTGTGGCTGTGGGGAGTCAGGGGTGGGGGTGGGCAGTTAACCACATCTGTTCTTGCTCTCAAGTAATTTTCAGTCCTGGGGACAGAAGCTCAGAAGAGTATATAATGACAGTCATATTTAACAAGGTCATAGGCCTGCTCTGCAGATGATGCTGCAACAGCAAATGGCACTGGCTTTGTTCTTTCATTCCCCTCCCTTTCAAAATGGATTTATTTTTTTTTAAGATTTTTATTTATTTATTTTTAGAGAGGGAAGGGAGGGAGAAAGAGAGAGAGAGAAACATTAATGTGCGGTTGCTGGGGGTCATGGCCTGCAACCCAGGCATGTACCCTGACTGGGGATTGAACCTGCGACACTTTGGTTCACAGCCCGTGCTCAATCCACTGAGCTACACCAGCCAGGGCTGGATTTTTTCTTAATTCTGGTTCTGAGGAGTAGGGATGAAGATCTCTTCTTCTATAACTACTTCAGGTGGGTGAGGGTGTAGAGCTGTCCCTGCCTGTGGGTCTGGGTGTGGGTCATTAATGAGAAGAGGATGGAACTGTGAAACTGGAAAACAAACAAAGAAACAAACAAACAAACAAACCCCAGCGTTCCTGCTGCTTGTCGCATACCGAACCCAACCATCAGAGACAGGGATTGAATCTCTACAGGCTCTTTATTCAGACGGCTGGTGATCTGAGAAGACGGTGGGTTCATACCCTAACAGACTGTCTTACATTTCCTTCCAAGCCAGCCTTTTTATAACAGAGAACAAAGTGTAGTTAAGGGGTTTGGAATTCAGGGAAAAGTTAATTGGATTAAAAACCCTGCAGTATTCTTGCCCTGTGCAGTGGTCTTTAGCTGTGTCCTGGGCAGCGGTCCTCTCATCCTGGAGCACACTGGCACAGGTACCACCTTGAGTTGCTTTCAGTCCTCCTGAGGCACAAAGGTGGAACTTCTTATGGTCTCCTGGAGTCAGGATGAGTCATACCTTCAGCTCCTGGAACAACAGCTTTTACATGCATTAATTACTAAGCTTATTAGCTATTACTTAAACTAAAATTCTCCAACTCTTGAGTCCCTTATCAATTGGATAGCCAGAAAAGCAAGAACTGTGGCCAGAGGCTGTTTGTGGAGGGAATCTGCAGAACCTGGACACTGTGGTAAATGAAGGATATGAAGGAATGAAGGACATTTGAAGAAACATGGTCCAAAAATAAGAATAAAGAAAAAGCTTTGGCTGGTGTGACTCAGTGGATTGTGTGCTGGCTCACAAACCAAAGGGTCACCAGTCTGATTCCCAGTCAGGGCACATGCCTGGGTTGTGGGCCAGATCCCCAGTGGGGGCCACGTGAGAGGCAACCACACATTGATGTTTCTCTCTCTCTCTTTCTCCTTTCCTTCCCCTCTCTAAAAAAAAATGATTAAAGAGCCCTGGCAGGCGTAGCTCAGTGGATTGAGCTCGGGCTGCCAAACAAAGCATCACAAGTTCGATTCCCAGTCAGGGCACATACTTGGGTTGCGGGCCACGGCCCCCAGCAACTGCACATTGATGTTTCTCTCTCTCTCTCTTTCTTCCTCCCTTTCCTCTCTAAAAATAAATAAATAAAATCTTTAAAAAAAAGAATAAATGAAAATGCTGCTGTCCTAGGAAGGTAGATAGCCAGGAAAATCAGGACTAGATATTGGCTTTAAAATTCCAAAAAGGGAGAGGCAGAGTAAGTAAATTCTGTATGGCTGACACTGTATCAGTAGTTACTCAATAATTTTTAAAAGATTTTATTTATTTATTTTTAGAGAGGGAAGGGAGGGAGAAAGAGAGAGAGAGAGAAACATCAATGTGTGGGTGCTGGGGGCTGTGGCCTGCAACCCAGGCGTGTGCCCTGACTGGGAATTGAACCTGCGATGCTTTGGTTTGCAGCCCGCGCTCAATCCATTGAGCTATGCCAGCCAGGGCCAGTTCTCAATAATTTTAAGTGAAAGGATGAAAGAAAAAAATATTAACTTGGGAGAAAGCTAGAAAAATTAGGATTCAATTCAGTTTGTGAGTGACAATTGGACATTGTGATTTTCACTGAAACACAATTTCTCTCCTGTCAGCATAAGAGACTTTCAAACCTGTAGAGAATTTTTGGTGAGTTTATTTGAGCCAAACTGATGAGAATTGCCTGGAAGCAATATCTCAATGGATTGAGAAATGCTCTGGAGAATGGCAGTTTAGTACCTTATTTTATACATTAGAATCAACCATAAGGGGTTACATGAAGTTCATTGGTCATAGACTAGGGAGGCAGGGGAAAGCAAAGTGGTTGGGGAGGAGGCTGGTGGGGGACCTCTGGGATTGCATAAAAGGTAAAATGATAGACACATAGGTGGGTTCTTTAGATAGGTGGGTAAGGAATAGTTAACAGTCAACAGTTAACATGATAACAATAACAATGAGGGACTTTGTGGTCTCAGCTTGTGCCCAAGAAGTTTGGGAAGAAGAGAAGTTACCTTGACATCACAAAGGTATGTTGTAGATGTAAAGAGACACTAGACAGGCTTAGTTAAGATAAAGGTTGACCTTTGTCGGATGAAAGTATTGGCCTAGGACATGACTACCTGCCATGGACTGTTTTTAGTTAATAGGTTTTCATTTTAGACCATCCTTTGTGGCTACTTTAGGTCTCTGAGTTTGTAAGGCTGCATCACAGACGTCTCTTGAGCTTGTCAGGTTAATATGTGGCCCCTTTTCTTCCACACCCCCTAAATCACCCTCATTTTATCAAAGAGACTGCATTAAGTCTGGTTTCAATTTGGCCTGATTATTTCAACACAACAAGAATAGTAATTGATCACATAACCTCTTTCAAGTCTGCTTTGCTGGAATTTTCACAGGAACCCTTAGACTGACATTTAGTCAACCCTTCAGGGCATAGAAGCCAAGCCACACAGTTGCCATCTGGTTTTGCCTGTAATGCCTGTAGGTTTGGGTGAATTCCTCAAGTTCTTGGGGTCCCTGAAATGTCTTCAGATTCCTTCCTTGCCGTCTTTAAGGAAAGTAATCTTTGTTTCTTACCTGAAAAGACTACCATGAACCATGTGACAAAGCAAGGTACCAGGTCATTTCTCCAAGGGGCTCTTATTGGCTTTAAAATCTTAATTCCTTAAGGCTTTCTCATGACATCCAGAGTCCAGACATGATTCTTTCGATCATGACATTTCACACAAAGACTTGACTGATAAAACCACATTTGGAAACTGGTGCTGTTATAAAGAGGACAGATTCTTATTGATTTATGCAAACAAACATATTGCCGTGAAAATAATACTCATTCATTAAGAGTTGTCAAATTCTTGCCCTGGCTGGTGTGGCTCAGTGGATTGAATGCTGGCCTTCAAACCAAAGTGTTGCCAGTTCAATTTCCAGTCTAGGGCACATGCCTGGGTT